TTATTTTTTAAATCAACTTTCTTCCTAATACACAATAATAAAAATTACACTTAGAAAGAAATCTTTAGGTAAGAACCTTGGCTATCCAACAGAGTTAAAGACCTCTTTGCTAAGACCGCATGTGCCCCCTGGTGGCAGATAGAGGGGATGGCGTCAGGCAGGGCTGGGCCTCAAGGCCACCCACCTGGCCAAGTCAGTGGTTCTCAAAGTGGGGCCCCAGCACCCAGACTCACTTGGGAACTTGATAGTTTTCAGGCCCTACCCAGACCTCCTCAATCAAACTTGGGGAATGCTGCCCAGCAATTTGTTTTTAATAAGCCATTAAGGTGGTTCTGATGAACCCTAAAGTTTGAGAACCACTGTTCTAAATGAGTACAGGTCTGGCACCAAACACTGTGTCCAAGAAGGACAGGCCTCTGAGGACACAAGGGAAGGAAGGGCGCGGTGAAGATGCTGAGGGTGCAGGCCAAGTACACCTCATGAACGTCCCTGCCACACACACAGTCCCGCCTCCCTCTTCAGCCTGAGCTGTCTGGAGGCTGCAGAGTTGGGCCAAAGGGGCCGTCTCCCAGGGTAAACCACTTCAGGCTTCTTGGACAGTATTTAAAAGGCCACACCATGTTGTGTGGAGCTAAACCTGGGATTCTTAGGACAGAAATCAGAGGTTCAAGGGCAGGATGACTACAGAACCATAGCAAACCCATCCTGAGAAGATACAGGACTTGAACCTCTGACAAAGACAGGAATGGAGAGCAGACACTGAGACAGGAATAAGGCAGGAACCAAGTAAGGCCGCCGAAGGAGGCAAAGAAGTGTGGCCTCCTTGGTCTAATGCAAGGAGATCCTCCACACATTCACTTGACCAGACACCTTCCCAGAGGAAATGTTTTATAATTCCGTTACTGTCACAGTGAAAAAAAATCCCCATGTCGACTCAAGATGCAGCAATGCTGGCACTTGGGGAAATTGGGTGTCAGGCTCCAGCTGGGTGAGGAAGCAACAGGCCTGCAGCAGGATTTCCCTGAAAGAGAAGTGATGGCGCTCAGTGCATCCAGCTGTTTAGGAAATCTCTGCACCTGGCTAAGTCAAGCAGGAATTTGTAGAGAAAATCTGACAAGAAAAACAAGGTTTCAGCAGAAACCAGAGAAGGGCAGATGGAAGATGTCATGGTAAATATGCCACTTCAAATCTTCCCCTCACCTTCTAGAAACAGTTGTTTATGCTGTCATTCTGATAATACCAATATTACAGATATGCTCTCATTCAGTGAAGACATATTTCAGATTACATGTTTAATCTATTAATTAACCTTATCCAGTCAATTCATAGTTATTGAGTACCTACCATGTGGCAGTCATTGTTCTAGGTTCTGGCATTACAGCAGTAAACAAAAATCTTACAATCATTTGGAAGCTTGCATTGTAATGGAAGCAGAGAGGAGAGAAAATAAGCAAAATATGCAACATGTATAAAGCTTCAAGTTCTTCATCTCCAGTTTGCCCCTCATCAGTTAAGCTCTTCATTCTGAATTTTCAAAGCCTCAACTAGAAGAACAGCGTTTAGTCTTCAGGTTAGGAAAGAGCTCAGGACAGGGCTTGTAAACAATTAACATGCAACCAAATAACCTGGAGCTCTTGTTAAAATGCATATTCAGATGAGGAGAGGGGAACAGGGAAGAGCTCCCAGGGGCTGCTAGCCTGCAGCTGTGGACCACACTTTTGAGGTGCTTGACTTAGGAGTCAGGCTGTGTGTGAGGGGTGGAGCCGGCCGCAGGACTAGGATCCCCAGCCAGGCCCCTGCCTCATCACGACTCTGCCCCTGTTCTGGGCTCCACCTGGGAGGCTCTGGGTGGTGTGCAGAGCACTCTTTTGTGTCATTTCACCTGGTTCCCATAGCAAGTCCTTCCAGCTCGCAGGGCAGCAAGGAACAGCAGTTAAAGGTGAGGAAAGAGCACCCACCCCAGGGAGGTTGTGGTAGCAAAGCTTGGGGCAGACTCCCACCCCTGCCTTGGGGGCTTGCCTGTGGCAGGCGCCTCACCTGGCCTGGAGCAGACTAGGGCCATTGGAGAGGAGGGTGCCCTTGGGCAAGTGCTGCAGGACTGAAGAAGCCAGCTCAGCAGTGAACAGCATTGAGAGTCACAGAAAACCAGGCATTTACAGGTCCCAGAGGCCCCCTACCCGAACCAGGGCTCGCTCCATGGCCCACCTGAACAGTTCACTAGTTGGGCTTCACCAAGTTGGCTTTAGGGTAGGTTTTTGGTTCGCCTCTTCAGCTTGTCTTGGTGTGGAGTGCATTTCACAGGAAGCCATCTGAAAGCAGCTGTTAGCCATGTTTGGCCCTCCCGGGTGGCTTGGCACAGTTGATTTGGAGCTGGGTGAGCATAGGGAACTGGGACGGTAGGAGAAAGGCCTGTTCCCTTCCTTAGGCCCAGAGCCACGAGGAACTGCTCATTCTCATTTTATAGCATCTCTTGGAAAGATTATCACAGAGAGAATAGACACACCACAGCTATTCCTTTACATCAAGTTGGGAAATGTCAATAAGGAGAGGTTATTCGGTCAGTCAAAACACACTCAGCTCACTCTTCCTGTAAATATTTAACCATCCAGAACGGCAAACACTACTTTATAGCATGTAATAAATTACAGCGTGCTAAGACATGGAACCACTTTACGATGGGCCTAAAACAACGAAGACTACACCTGGCGATTTCCCTGGTGGAAAAGCACGTGCCAATGAAAATGCTGTAGGCAGACACTCCTTCAGGAAAGGTGAGGGCAGAACCCAAGTCAAGACAGTGCCCTGGGGGACTCTGCTCATGGTATAAGTATATGTCTGCAGGAGCCTAAATGGCTGAGACTCAGGAAGGCTATCCAGCAATAGGAATTGAGGATGAAGGGGCCAAGAGAATTTTCCAGAACTGGAGCCAAGATCAATTGTAATATGGCCAAGAGAGGCAGGCAGCTGGCTTCTCAGATGAAAACAGATAATGCCTCCAGGAACAAGGGACGACTTAGAAGTGCTTGTCCTGTAGGTTAGTTCAGGATCTGCAGCAGATAGGAAACCCAATAGGAAACACTAGGTGGCCCAACAAGATTCTGGAAAATGGGAAGGAAATTTGCTCTCAAGATTTTCTCAGCAATTACCTCCCAACCCCACCCCTAACTTGCTTTTTTTAGGAAAGGAGCATTGTACCTTTGTTGTACAGAAGACAAGTCAGCCTTGGTTCTAACCAGATGCCAGAAAGAATGAGGGAAAGACAGAGAGAAAGGAAGGAAGGGGAGGGCGAGACAATGAGAATGCATATGTCCTAAGTAAGGCTACAACTACAACCAACTTGAGACCCTGGGTGGCCACACGGCCAATCCTCGGTCTCCCTGCCGCCTGGGACACTGCCACCTGATGGGTGCAGACGTGAGGAGGGAACAAGAGCATCAGTCTAAGGCCCATTCAGAACAATCTACCTTGTTTCACTCTCCTGCAAAGTTAAAAGGCAGAAAACTAGTTTTATCTGTAAGAAAATGTTTATTCTTTTGAACCCCACAGGAAGAAAAAAAAGAATGCAGCCAAGGCCAAGTATTTAACGAAAACAGTGTCCCAAAAGGCAGCAAAATAGGGGAAACCTCCACACAAAGTCAGACAATTTTCCATGTTTTTGCACAAAGATGAAAAAAATCTATGACAATTCTGGGTAACACTTTCATGGTGACAGTTACACAGGATGATTCAAAAATGCAAAATGGCAGCAACATGCACACCTAGCTAAAGCTAGAGTTTTTTTTTAATCCCAAAATTAGATCTGTGATTAAAGGATGATTCTATTTTGCTGACTGGCTTGTCCTATTTAATTTGCTTTAAATGAGACATACATGCCAATTAACAGGACATTTTACAAGAACGATGTCCTTCCTGAATCCACGGCGAGGAAGCAAAACCAGTCTATTCGATTTCTTAATTTTTCTAGTTTCCAAATACGTTTTTGCCTGGCCCCTCCCTCTCCCAGGCCCTCCCCCACCCCCACCCCCACGCCTAAACACTTCCAAAAATTGCCAGTGCAAACACTTTTCTACCGATGTATAATATATGCTCAATGCTGAACTTTTTGTACAGAGTTTCAAGTTTAAAACTCTTTAAAAAAAAAGCCCTCCTTGGCACAAGAGCTGAGGAATAGTCAAGTTTCTTCTAAATCATCAAACACAAGATGATGAAGAATGGAAAGCAGTTAGATGAAATGGAATGGAAAACAAAAACAAAAAAACCCCTAGATCCACAGCTTTTATCAGCAGTAACTGCAGTCCCTCGCACACAAACCCCACCCCGCTCCCCTGCCCAAGGTGCCTGCCTTGAGACAAGTCCAGAACACTGCGGTGCTTTCTGTGAAAGGAGACAGAAGCTGCGGCCGTGGTGGTAACAAACAGCCCAGCTACCTATCAGTTTTACAGCAGGATCCGCTGTAAGCTTGTTGCAGATAGAAGACAGATGATGGTAAAGGGGAAAGAGTTTAAAATTGTCAAGTTTCCTCTTGAAAAAAGTCTCTTCCCAAGGCACTGTGAACAAGACCGCTGCTAGCTATTTCCTAGGACTAACCCCCCTGTTGAGAATATAAGCATTTTTTTTCCCACCCTTTCTTCTTTCTTCTTTTTTCTTTTGGGAATATAAGCATTTCTAACACAACTCCTGTGACATACTCACAGCTAGTCTCACCTCCTGCGTCTCTCCCCTTGCTTAAATAATACTCCTTGAATTTGTTTGGTCCTTGGAGGGGTAATCAGTATCAGTAATTGTCTTCTTTAATGCAGCTATAAATTAAAGCTGTGTGTGGTAGGTAAACCCTTTCACTCTAGAAATGAGAAGTTTCCACTACCGTCCCGTGTGAATCCAGTGTGCAGGTTTTGCTTGCTTATCTACAGAACAAAACAAAATAAAGGGTTGAGAAGCAAAACCCTATTTTTTTCCTCTTCAAGAGGAAACTGTAAGAATACATAAAAGGCAAAATTGGCTACTTGAAATCCAAGAATGGTTTTAATGTATTGGCCGAGAAAAATAAACTGCAAAGTTCTGTGAGGTCTCCTAAAAATTTACAAGAAAAACTGATGGACAGTTCTAATCAGACTTGGATGGTACCTTCCCCCTCTTTTAAAAATGACAACATATACAGTCCCACAAAATACAATATAAACTTTTATCTCGACTGCCAGAGACGCTCCTTTGCAATGCCTTCTGGTAACCAAATGATTGGGCAAAACACACTACTGGCCTTCATTTCTTCAGGGGCTGGTAAACAGAGGCATTGGGGTCAAGTCCAGAGGGGCTGGTCTCCACAAATTTGGAAGAGTAGTGGGGGGAAACAGGGCTCAGGGGGCTGGTGGCAGCACTGTACGTTATGCTGGGCATGACGGCCATGACTTCGGCTATCTTCTGTTTTAGGTCCTTGATTTCCTGGTCTTTCTGAAGAATTTGTCCTGGAAGATCAAAGACCCACCATTAGTGAGAAGGGAGGGCTCACCTAGCACAATGCCCTTTTGGGCCAATCCCAAGTGGATTCAACACCAGCCCTGCTGGTTTATAAGAGTAGGCAAACTTTTCCTGTAAAGAGTGAGTTAGTAAATAGTTTAGGTGTTAGGAGATACGTATTGTCTTTGCTGTATTTTTCTGGGGGATGGACTATCTGAATGTCAGACCAAATACAGAACAACTGAGACCTCAGAATCACAACAGTATACTCTGCCCCAAGGTTCCTGCAAAAATAAATGGAGCTCTGTGGATGCTGCACTGGAAGGGTGTGTGTTGGGGTGTGTTTTCTCATGTGACTCAGACTGCTTGTGTCCTATCTCTTGGCACAACGCCCCTCAGTTTCCACTTGGCATTACCCAGTACCTGACTGGGCCTCAAAGGACACCCTCCCTCACTATGCTTTGCTTCTTGATCCTACAAGCTCTTGCCTTTCTCCGGGCTACTTTCCTTTCTGCACTTCTGCTCTCTGCACCCTGAACTCTTAAGACTTCTGTTTCTACCTCCTCCCAATGCTTTCCCTGGCCCTCACACCCAAACCAGACCCTCCCCCTCCCCCACTACAACATACACACAACTCCTGGATTCTCAACATACTCTGAACTTTCTTTTTATCACTTTATTCTTTGGAATAATGATAATAAATAATTACAATAGCTAACACATATGTGCCAGGCACTGTTCTAAGTGCTTACATAACCTAACTCATTTATTTATCACAACCACCCTACAAGGTGGGAGTTTTCATCCTCCTTATAGATGAGGAAATTGTGGCACAGAGAGGGTGAGTGGCAGGGCCAGGATCCCAGTCTATGCAGTCTGGCTCCAGAGCCCGCACTGTTACCTGCCACATTCTGCCATCTCTTGCAACTACTATTTCTTTGGCTGATGATCTGCGTCCATCATCTCTCCACTGGACCATGAGCATCATGAGGGCAGAGACTATGTCTGCTTTATTTCATTGCTGTATCCTTAGTGCCCAGCTCAGTAGAAAGCCGAGGCTTTAAGTTATTTATCTTGCCCAAAGTCACTTAGTTATTAAGAGGTAGAGCAGGATTTAAATTCAGAGCCCATGCAATTGCCACCATGCTTGCAAGCTCCCAGGGGAAGGACACTTAGAAGTAGCTCTTCAGAAATTTAAATGCTTAAAAAGAAAGAGGCTGCACTTCAGTTGTGTTCATTTTGAGTCCTACAGATGGTCATCTATTCGAAATGTAAGAGAGCGTGGTGGCATATTTTTAAAAAGGATGTAGTAGAAGGGGAAAAGCAACAAGAGGTTTGATTTGGACGACAAAGTTGGGTATACTCTGGGCATGATCGTGGAGGGACGCAGTGGGAACGGCGGCAGCAAAGAGCAGAGAAAGGAGCTGCTCCCTCGGACTTTCTCCAAGTAAGTCCCCTCAGCTTCAAGTAAGCATCAAATATCCTTCGCTTAGAACAAAATAAACCTTGGATGAACAAAATACCTAACGGCACCTGATATATGAGCTGTTGTATCTTTTTTTCCATGCAGATTTGAGTTCTTTAATCAGTAACAAGCAGATATTCCCAAAGCATTGGAAAACACAGTTCTCTTTGCTTCTTTGTCACTTTACAAGAACTCCTGGGTCTAGTCTGTGCTGGGCAGCCAAGCTCCCCCTCAGGCTACTCAGACCAGGTGCTGCTGCACTGCAGGGGGAATCTCCTCCAAGTCTGCAAATCCCAGTAAGCAGGATGAAGCTGAGAGGGGCAGCCACTTTGCAGGGAGCTGAGCCAGGCAGGCAAAAAAAACAAAACAAAACAAAACCAGTGTATGGTCACAAGTTCGGCTTTAAATCAGGATTACCAGGAACCTTCTTTTTAAATGTCATCCCCTGAATCCACAGAGTAATAAGCCTCATTCTCAACTCCCTTCTCTTCTTGCTGTCACCTGCACCCTCCCAAGCTGTTCCTATGGCCTTCACTCATGTCTCACGACTTCTGTGTCCCACCCCTACCCCGGGGGTTTTGGCCCTCTCTCTGGGGTTCAGACCCCAAGTCCCTATTGACTGATGACACATGGACTTGCCCGCTACTGCCTGTGCCCTCGGGGGTTCACAGTGCCTGGCACACAGGTCTCAGTCAATGTCTGCCGAGTGAAGAGCCTGCTCTCAGACTCTCCTCCCACCTCTTCCTCATTTGCAACCTTCCCTGTGGCCAGAAGCCAGGGGCAGCTCTGAAGGCATCAGGCCCTTCTAGTGCCCTGGCCTTGCCCACGCTGCTTCATCTGCTTAGATGCCCCTCAACCCCTCACCCCCACTACAGTGCTTCTTCACTGGGCTAACTCCTTCCCCTCATTCAACACCCAGCTCAGACATCAGCTTCCCTGAGAAACAGCCCTACCTCCGCAGACGGGCTTAGTCTCCGCCTCTCTCTCCTCCCACAGACTCTGTACATAGTGCTGCACCAGCACCTTCTGGTGACTCTAAAGTTCTCTGTTTCTTCAACAACATTGTGAATCTCTTGTCCATTGAAACTCAGACTCTTCTCCGTATGCCCTGCACTTGACATGCTCTTATCTCAACATATGTCTGCAGAGTGAATTAATGTGATGATTCCTAGATGTCAATGCTGGGCACTTATCAAACCACTTGAGAAAACTGAAATGCCTCTGGTTCTGAGCCCGAAGGGAGTTCTGCTCTCTGTGACCCTGTGCATTCTCAGCCACAACCTCACCTGGTGCCTGCTGCTCCCCTACCTTGGGCAATCTCGAGCTGTCGCTTTGCATCCCCCAGTGCAGAGAACAGATCCAGCTTGATTCTTGTCTCTGCGCTCAGGCTGTTCTCCAGGTGCTGTGTTTTATCCTGCATGGCTGAGAGGGCTGACATTAACACCTCAGTGTCCTTCTCATTTTCCTTGTACTTTCGAAGCTCCTATCAATATCATCAAAGCAGCAATGTTACAAGATAGTTTTGGCATCCATGTCTACAAATTAGCCTGAAATCACAGATAAAATCCCACTATTATTGACCTTGTCCCTAGAACACAGAATTCTGGCATTTCATGGATTTAGACCTCACCATTTAGACAAAGTGCGAAATGTATTTATATGTTGATGTGCACATACAATAACATTTTAACAAATAAATCTGACTGTGTTGGGCTGTTTCTAGGTAACAGTGGACTGTGTCTCCAAATAAAAAACACTTTCCTACAAGCTTAATTCACAAACACAAAGAACTTTAACCTTGCTGCCAGCTGCAAATGTTGCTGTAATGCTGTAATCAAATTTACCAAAACTCTACTCTCAACCTGCACTAAAAATTGCAAAAACATTAATTATTTTGACAGGGCATACTATAGGATGAACCCACTCAAAATATTTGGTAATGTAGCCAGTAAGTATATAGATAGGTATTTAAATTTTTCATTTTAAGAGAGAAGTCCAATTAATGCAGAGAATTTAGAAATAGATTAAACTTTAAAGAAGAAAATGAAAAGCACCCAAAGTCTCAACACTGGAAAATTTGATACATTTTCCTTCAGTTTTTTTTAAGCATATATGTATCTTTTAGTATAACCGAAATCACACACTGTATGTAGTTTTGTATAGTTTTTTTTTAAAACTTCAGCTTTCTTTGAAAATGTAATTTTAATGGCTATGCAATATTCCCACGACACAGAATGCAAATCAAGTATGAGAAAATCTTTTGCTCTGTCATTACCTGAACTTTCAGCTCCAGTTCTCTGATCTGGTCTTCTTTCACCTTCATGTCTGTTGTGAGCTTCTTGCCCTCTGCTTCTAATTCTCTGATCCGATTCCGTAAGGTCTCGGTGCACTCTCCTCTTTTGAAAAAGAAGAGAAAGAAATAAAGGGATTTAAAAACTATAGGTTTACTTATATGGCAGGGGTGAGATTTCTCCTACACTCCAGACCCAGGTTTTAGCTTTTGGCTCAGTTTGCTCATTCTCTCTGTTCTTTGATAATTCCAACAAGGATCTAAAATTATTAACTGGGTGTCTAATATGAGCCAGGCACCAAGCTATTATGTACTTTACTCGTACTTTTTTCTTTATGGGGGCAGGGAGTAGCATATATTCCCATTTTCCAGATAAGAAAACTGAGGCCACACAGATATAATACTAGTCCAAGGTCACCTAGTTTGTACATCACAGAACTGGGATAATAACTGAATTCACTGGCTTCCTCAGTCCAGGAAACTTCCCACCAGGCTCTATCACTTGAGAAATGCATAGAAACTGAGCATGACATGTGGGACGTGGGCTGTTTCCAGCAGGGGGCAGTAGGCTAAAAAGTTTCAGTCTTGAGGGACTATGCACTGGGAATTTCACGTTTCTTTAGTCAGGAAATTGCTGCAAGCACGGAGTAAATAGAAAAAGGACGCAGCATTTTACTGCTACTCAGGGCTATAATAAGGACAAATGAACAAAGATGATAGCAAGGGCCAGTCCAAAGCTGATTAACTGTTCAGGTTTTTAAAGTAGCCCCATGGAGAAAGTAGGTGTCCTTTGCCCACTGAAAACAAAGGTCTAGTGAGAGCTTACATCTTGAGATTTACTTAAGAATAAAAACACCCTCTACTTAAGTGATACCAACAAAGACCACCCAAGGAAAGACCAAAACAAATTAGCTTAACTGGAAGCAAAAGGGATTCAGGGTTAGAGACTGAAACCAACTTACTGATTCTCAGGCATAAGAGACACTAATTCATCTGGTTAGGTTAGGGCACTACATCATTATCTTCCTCAGTGGATTTTTTAATAAGGGTGGGTGCTGGATGAATTAAGGACACTACAGCCACACTGATGACAGTTCAGGACAATCTCCTGCAAGTGTAAGTGCTTCAGAAATGCTTACAGATCTTTCAACAAGGAAACACCCCCCACACACACACACACATCCTAGGCAGGCCAGTAAAGGGTCTGTGTGAGTCTGTATAGATGCTGATGAGCCAAGGAGACTCACAAAGGGGCCAAGAGCTCTCTGGCTGTTGTTTCCTATAAGGTGAAATGATGACTCATCAGTTATTCTGCAAATGCCAGAACCCAAAAGAAGGCTCTGCCACGCCAAACACAAAAACACAAAACACAAGGAAGAATTACAGAATTGAATCACATAAACAAATACAAGTCAGCATAGAAATTTAAAATGAAAAAAAAAAACAAAACCCTCACTCTGTATCTGCAAACCTGTAACTGACCCCTGCCACGCAGATGGACTTCACTAGTCAGGCAAAGAAAAAAAGAAAAAGTGATCAAGTAAATGCACCTCCTCAAAAAAGACATGTTCTTGACTCTTCTCTCCTCTCTGGAATTCTGATGGCAGTTTATGCATCAGTTGTTTTGGAATTCTAGCATACACTTCAATGGTATAAGGAGTCTCCAATTTTTATCAATCTCACAAATTCAATGATACCTAATAGTGACAGACAGACAGACAGACATTTATCTCTCCTCTCTGGAATTCTGATGGCAGTTTATGCATCAGTTGTTTTGGAATTCTAGCATACACTTCAATGGTATAAGGAGTCTCCAATTTTTATCAATCTCACAAATTCAATGATACCTAATAGTGACAGACAGACAGACAGACATTTATCTATCTATCTATCTATCTATCTATCTATCTATCTATCTATCTATCTATCTATTTATTAATTATCTTTTCCAGCTATTGGGCAGTTTGCTGACATCCAACACAAAGACCTGAGCAGCCAGTACACAGTGCTTGGGCAACCAAGATTTTACCTTTCTTCCATTTTAAGATAAAAACTCCAGAAACACAGTAGAGAGTAATGATAGTCCTATAAAGGGAGCAAAATTCCAGACGGGAATCTCTCAAGTGTTTAGTAATTATTGGTCTTACAGGAAGTGACTAGAAACACCCTTATGAGCAGCATTTGCCTCCCAGGGATGAGGGGCATGGTGATTCCCCCACTTTATAGGTGAGGTCATTGGGAGATGGCTGCTTGTCAGACAGTGCAAGCTTGCACAGATGGAGCTTAAGCAGCTCTGAAACAGTACTTGAGAGCGACCATCTGTGCCTGATTGCTGTACTTCAGTCCTGTCAGGGTGTCAGAGCCCTGCGTCTGGTACAAGGACAGCTAACCTCGGATTAAGCACTCAGGTGACACGGACATACCGAGACGCAGCAGCAAATGCAACAGCCCGGGCAGCAGTGGCTTCTTCTAACTTCTTCCTTTTTTTCTCCTCCATTAATTGTTTTTCTACAAAACTTCGGGCTTCCTGCTCCGCTTTTAGCTTTTTCTCCAACTGGCTGATATTCTGCTTGTCTTTTTGCTTCATTTGTACAGCATTATGTAACCTATAAGGAAATGATTGTCATACAGAGTTTTGCAACTAGAAATCCCACTATAAACCCTGGAAAAACATGGCTCCTCTTTATCATTTTAAGGCTAAAGTAAATAAGAAGTTTGAACAGCAAATCTTAAATGTCAACTCTTTGTGTGTCCAGGAAAAACACATTGCCATTATTAATTAATAATTCCTAAATACCAATGAACAAGCTGCCTTACAAGATACAGAATCAGACCTAGCCTCTGCTCCATTAAGGTAAGCGATCTACAGAAGGTAATCCAGAAAAGAGGATAAGACAAGTTTCTACCAGAGGGAAAGATACCTGTACAACTAATTCTAGTGCCCCGAAGCACCTTGGAAGAACTTTGGTTGGCCAAGGAACTGCTGCTGGCACCAGCCCCACTAAAGATGAGGTTAGAGCGGGGGTGGGGGTGTCTGCCTTCGCCTGCACACGGTAATGCTGCAGCCCACAGCAGCCTTTCTTTTCCAGCTGTGAGACATTTTCTCAGAGTATCCCAAACTACATCTTGTAGTTAGTCACGGGGGGCTTTATTTCAGATGGAAATTTCAGCCATATTCCCTCCCCTGCCTATTACCACCCCCAGTTCTACATATCAGTAAAGGTGAGTTTACCTCAAAATACCAATATAAGGTAAGCTGTTGTCTAACTATCGATGCTTGATGCTCGAGCTAACACATATGCAGGTCAGAAGCAATAACAGGTCACTTGCCTACAATGCTCTAGCTTTTGAGTTATGTTCCTTAAAAATGTTGGAAGGACTATTCCTTCATTGGGGAAAGCCCAGAGCCTGTAACAGTTATCCCTACCACAGACACACACTGCTTAAAGAAGAAAAGAAAAAAAAAGGACAGACCCACACTGAGTCAAGAAGTAATTCCAGGAGGAATTAATGAAAAGCATGAAAGAATTCACACAAAAGAGCTGGCTTTTTCCTGCCTCTTCAAATAAAAATCAAAGTTCAAGTAATTTTTTAGTTTCAGAAGTCAAAGTAAATAAATAGTGTTTAGTCCTCTGGAAACTTTCACTCAAAGGAGCAAGATTTTCAAACTGTGGCAGAACTACTTCTTGTCAATTGTACTTACCACAAAAGTTCAGGAACTACTTAAACTAAGAGAAGAAGTTATTAAATAAGACAAAATACTAATATTAATAAACTTTCATTGCAATGAAATAAGTTTTTATGGATTTTTTAACATGTTGACTATCTGGTACTAAATTAAATTATTTTTATTTAAAAACATCTCTTCTAGGTCTGTCATCAATCTTGTCCTCCAATCCCTGGAAACAAGAGAAACAGGCCGCCTGGCTTACGGCCAAAGGTCTAAAAGGTGCACGTACTTGTTCTGCAGCAGCTCATTCTCCTGCCGGAGTTGGCCCATTTCTGAGCGGATCCCTCGCTCGGTGCTCGAGAGGGAACTTATCTGACTGCGGAGTTCTTGTTCCACTTGTCTGCTGGCCTGCAAGTCAGCCTTTAACTTTTTAATGTCTTGTTCCAGCCTAGGAGAAGGAGAAACGCAGAATTTTCATCATAGAAAGGCCACCCACAGGGCTCTTGGGAGAACCTGGCTGAAGTCCTGGCCTGCTAGGTGGACGGCCCTTTGGCCACTCCTGCCGTCACCCATCTAGAAGCGGCCTTTTCCTGAGTGCTTCTGCCTGGGTCCCCACCTCTTCCTACCAGAGGGTAACTTGTGATTCCCTGCAAATGATTGCGATCACTGACCAGTGAGGATGATGCCTGTGAGTATCTGAGCTGCTAATTAGGGTGGAGGGGCAGGCAGGGAGAGGGAGGCAAAAGGAGAAGGTCCCCTCCTCACGGGGGCATCTCTATGCCTCTCAGCAAGGGGGTAAATAAATAACAATCTCATGACCCACCTGCTTTGAGATATTCTGATAGATCAGAATTACTGTCTGAGATTTCCGCCCTCCATGAGCCTGGAGAAAAGAGTGTCAAGACGGGCTCCTGAAATCGCTAACACCCTTGCTAACTGATGTTCACACTTCAGATGATGGTGATGGAAGAGCTCGTTAAACAAAACAGTGAAAAAGGACCAAATTACATGCTCTGTAAATCGTAAGAAAACTCCATCTGTGAACTAAAGTCTATCTTTTCTCTTCAATCCCTGAATCCTGTTCTATTTTCTTTAATACAGTAATAGTTTCATTTTAAGTGATATATATGGGGAACTATTATATGCACATAAAGGATTGAAAAGGGTCAACAAAAAACATAAAATCACAAATCCCTTTCTTTATGAGAGGACTTTACAATTTCACTAGGGGCCAATAAATAGATGCTTAAAATGATTAAACAATAACACAAGGAAAGCCATGATTATACACATGCTAGAAGGAACAATAACTAATCTTTAATAAAAACTTATGTGCCAGGCACTGTTATATAGGCTTTAAGCATATAAACTTATTTAATATGCACAACCGTGGGCTAAGTGCAATTATTATTCCCATTTTTACAGAGGAAGAAATGTAGACTCGGGGGAAGTTCCAGCCCAAGTCCCACAGGCAGTCCGGCTCCAGAGCCCCTCTCTTCAGTAGGCTGACCTGGGGCTCTGTCACCACAGTATGCGAAGAAATGCCCCATCAGTTCTGGGGAGAGAACATGGGAGTTGAGCTGGGCCTCAAAGGTTGGGTGGGATTTGGAGAAATAGAAAGAGAGGAGGGAGCATTCTAACCTAGGAGAAAACACGCTCAAAAGCTCAAAGGTACGAACAGCCACAGAAAGTCAGGGACAGAGCAAGGCCGCCCTCTGAGGAGGGCCTGTACTCTGGGATCAGAGTGAGAAAGAACAGAATGGGTCTGGTGATGGAATGGTACCGACTGAGACTGAAGGTCAAGCCAAGGATGGCTGCATGTGAGACACAGAAGACCCCTTTTCCCACAGACTCACAGGTAGGCAAAAGTCAGTTTCTTCTGATTAGACTCCTGCATATTTCACTAATCCAACACACCAAGAGAACCAAGATTCCTGGAGGGTAATGGTGATCTGTCCTTGGAACTGCCAGCTCCACAGACAAAGTATTTTATTAAGCACTAAATCCCCAGGGCCCACCACAGTGATTAACACTTACTAAATATAAGTTGCCTGGCTTCCCTTAGAAGACTCAAGAGCAGCTTCACTTACCTACCTACATTTAGCCAACTGAAACAAAATCTCAAAAACAAAAAGTCATAAAACATCAATAGTCCTCTCCCAGACATAGCAGGCAGTCCCCTGTCCAGTGTGGGCAGCACACACCGGAGACCTTGTGTTCAGAAAGCACACTGGGTCTTCTGACACAGCGTGCTCTCCAGGGAGGGGTCACAAGTCTACATCACACCGTATTTCCCCTACTGCCAGGGTTATTCCAGTTGAATATGCTCTTGGAACTGCTTTAAACGATTACAGATTGGCACTTATACCATCCCACACCATCCTTCATTCAGTAACCCAAGGGATATTTTCCAAAACAGGTCAATACTGTCAGAGTATCCCCATTGAGAAGTGTGGCTGAAAAACAAGTTAGGTAATTTAAACTTCCTTGAGAAGTCAATTTCAGTCTAAGGATTGCATTTTTAGTTGAAAGGGTGAGTTTTAAGATGAGATAGGGACTTGGCACAGTCCCTATTTAGCATCATAACGGAGTTCAGGATCAGAATTCTAGGCTCAGCTTTGGTGACAACTGTGGGGCCCTGAGCAAGACAGGTAACCTTCCAGGACTCAGTTTCCCCATCTTAGGCTAATGATCTCTTAAGTTCCTCCCAGCTTGGTCTAGGATTTCTAGACTTGACACACTTACTGCTGGCTGCTGATCTGCTTCTTCATATTAGCATACTAGGCTGTATCATATGCAGAGACACAGGAATTAAGTTCCACACAACCAGCCGACTGGGGCAAAGTGTGTGCCGAAGTTGTGAATTATAGGAAAGTTAAATCTGCAGAGGCTAGATGTCAATTTTACAGTTATTACTTTTTTTTGCATATTTTCATCTATAAAAGCTAATTTTCCTACCCTGAACTAAGAATAACAATATGCTGAATAAACTTTTAGGCTCCTTGAAAATGTAAACACCCAAAGAGTTCACGCAGTTATGGGAGCAAAAAGTGCAAAATATCTAGTGTAACTTCTGGAGACCACAGAACACTAAACAACAATGTATTTTTATGTCGAACTATGAAAAAATTTTCAAAGATAGCGATACAATACAACAAAAATAAAATGGTGTGGTTAGAAGGGGACATTCACTTTGTGAAAATTCGTGAGTTGTACACATAAGATTTGTGCACTTTTGTGGATGTGTATTATGCTTCAATAAAAAGTTTGTTTTCAAAATTAAGTTAATTTCATAAAACACAGAGCTTACATTAAGATGCTCTGGGATTTTCATACTGCTATCATTAATTTTGTAACACTGTGAATTACTGTTTTCCAAACAGTGGCAGCAAACTTGTAGGTTACAATGGAATATTATTGAGCAATTGTTTATAAAAAACTTCCTATGGTGTGGGAAGGTGCTTAAGATATGTAAATCGTATATTTGGTACTTTCACTGATTTTGAAAATATTTACATGTGTGAAGAAAAAGAAAGAAAAGACACACAGATTTGCAACAACATGGATGTAGCTAGAGGGTATTATGCTCACTTAAATAAGCCAGGCAGAGAAAGACAAGTACCAAATGATTTAACTCATTTGTGGAGTATAACAACAAAGCAAAAACTGAAGGAACAAAATTGCAGCAGACTCACAGAACCCAAGAATGGATTAACAGCTACCAAAGGGAAAGGGACTGAGGAGGGTGGGTGGGAAGGGAGGATTAAGGGGCATTGGGGCATTATGATTAGCACACTTAACGGAGGGGGTGGGGCACGGGGAAGGCAGTACAGCACAGAGAAGTCAAATAGTGACTCTATAGCATCCTACTATGCTGATGGACAGTGACTGTAATGGCGTATGTGGTGGGGACATGATAATGGGGGGAATGTAGTAACCACGTTGTTCATGTGAAATCTGAGCATAAGATTGTATATCAATGATACCTTAATAAAAAAAAAGAACTATAAACAGAAGTATGTAGGGATGTAGGAAAATGATGTCTAGGATTTGAAGGGAAAGGGGTGGGACCATAAATGAAACCAGATGGTCATGTGTTGAAATTTTTTTTATGTTGAATCATAGGGCCTTGGGCTCATTATACTATTGGCTCCACTTCTGCACATATTTGAACATTTAAACAATGAAAGTTTTAAAAAGAAACCACACAAAGGGCAGATGTCTGGGTCTTTCTCACAAAGATTTTGTTTCAGTATCTCTGAGATGGGCCCATGCACCCACTGTTTAGCAAGACCCCAAATGATATTTGTACAGAGAACTAAGGTTTGAGAAGCTCTATTGTAGAGTGAATGCCGGTATCACCTCACAATTTCTATGTTGAAACCTTATCCCAAATGTGATGGTATTTGGAGGGGGGCACTTTGGAAAGCGATGTGGTCACGAGGGTGGCACCCTCACAAATGGGATTCTGTGCTCTTATAAAAGACACCCTGAAGAATTCCCTTGCCCCTTCTGCCAATGTGAGCACACAGCAAAAAGATGGCTATCTAGGAATGAGGAAGCAGATCCTCACTAAATCTGCAGATGCCTTGATGTTGGACATCCCAGCCTCCAGAAGCATGAAAAATAAATTTCTGTTGTATGTAAAAAAAAATTCACTATATTTTAAATCTTTACTGAAGTAGGTGGTAAAATGATTTATAATCCCTTGTTGGATGTATTTATTAATGCAAAAGTAATAGTCAATACAAAACAGTGCATACAACAGAAAAATATAGAGAATAAAAATGTAAACAACTCACACTCCTCCCTATTCACATTTGGTTTACTTGCCTTCTGTGTGTCTTTTCTTTCTCTTTCTTCACACATGTAAATATTTTCAAAATTGGTGAAAGTACCAAATACACAATTTACATACCTTAAGCACTTTCCCACACCATAGGAAGTTTTTTATAAACAATTGCTCTATAATATTCCATTATGCAGATAAACTATACAATCCTATTCTAAGATATATCTCAATTTCTGCAAATGCTCAATAGACAAATGTATGTACAAGTTAAGACTTATATGCGTTAGTAAACTGAACTGGATCAGGCCAGCCAAGTACCAGGGGCACTTATGACACAGATAACTTACTACTTGTCTAAATGGTATACTTAACCCGTTGGTGCTGAAGGTCAATACCTCCTAGGTAAAAGGAAAATACATGGTTTATTGGTGTGAAGCACTAAAAAGCACTGATTAAATGGTGTTAAGAGGTTAATGCAAAATCTTGAAATGTATTCACAGGATTTTATTAAAATGTCAATAGCTGCAACCTAAATTAGAAGCAAGTAGTCAGGAGAAAAATGAGGCAGACGTAATAGTTTATAACCCTTAATACTAATTTCCATAAATAGGGATCAAAAGAAAGGAAGAAAAAAACTCATCCACTAGCTCAGACCC